AAACTAAACTGGTTCTTTCCCATCCCTTATGTATCAATTAAAAATAATCTCTTCCAAGAAGTCTTTGATAACTAATTTAGAACAGTTTGCCACACTATGTAGTTCTATTTTCTTTTTAAATAACATGCCATTGTACTACAGCTCAAGTACTGTAATTTCTGTGCAGAATATATGGATATATTTCAGTTCAGATTAACACATCTTTTCAATTAGATTATGAACCTTATAAACCTTAGTGTTTCAGATTATATATTGTGAACTCTTTGGGCATTTGAATAATGAAGATACATGCCAGGTGTTCTGCTAAGTATATTACATGCGTTACCACCATGATCATATTTAATATAAGTAGATGCTTGAAAGAAAAATTCTAGCATTTTGTTCATAACACTATTCTGTATAGGAACAAACCATATATCCAATATATCTTATGTAAGTTTTATTCAGAAGAGCTTCCTGACTTTCATGAGTAGGGTCAGCTGGTAGAATTATTGACTTGTATTAGAAAATTATTTGAAATATCAATCCTAGGACATGAGTAGAATAGGCCAGTCTGAGTTACTGGCAAGTCAATAACCCATAGCTGTCACATAGTCTCCTTTTTAAAAAAAATTACTTGTTTATTTATTTTTTTGAAAGAGTTACACAGAGAGAGGGAGAGACAGATAGAGATCTTCCATTTCCACTCCCCAGATAGCCACAACAGCCAGGGCTGGGCCAGGCTGAAGCCAGGAGCCAGGAACTAAACCCGGGTCTCCACCCATACTTGGATCATCTTCTACTACTTTTCCCAGGTGCCTTAGCAGGGAGCTGGATTGGAAGTGGAGCAGTTGGGACATGAACTGGTACCCCTATGGGATGCTGGGGTTTCAGGAAGTGCCTTTAAAAAAAAGATTTATTTATTTTATTTGAAAGTCAGAGTTACACAGAGAAGGAGATGCAGAGATAGAGATGTGTTGCCATCTGCTGGTTCACTCCCCAGTTGGCACAATGGTCGGAGCTGAAGTCAGGAACCAGGAGCTTCTTCTGGGTCTCCCATGTGGGTGCAGGGGCCCAAGCACTTGAGCTATCTTCTGCTTTCCCAGGCCATAGCAGAGAGCTGGATCGGAAGAAGAGCAGCCGGGACTGGAACCTGCGCCCATATGGGATGCCAGTACTGCTGGCGGCAGGTTTACCCCCCTATGCCACAGCGCTGGCCCCTGCAGGAAGCGTCTTCACCTGCCGCGCCACAATGCTGGCCCAACAGATCCCTTTTTTATATACACATTTTCTAGATAGAACTAAACCATGCTCAGGGCTGACAATTACCCAAGTATGTCACTCCAGATTAAACAGATGCTGCTAAGTCTAAGCAGCTCTTATCTACACCAGAGTAGATAGTTTTTCCACTGTTCCAACTTTTTGAGCATGGCATTTAAAGTTTTCCAGCATCTTCAACCGCCCAGCGTCACAGCCCTATCTCCCTTCAGGGACTCCTGGTGCGCCAATTCACACACAGCCAATAACATTGTGTAAAATAAGGCCCGCACTTTCACTTTTCTGTAGCACATGCTGTCAAACTCCTCATCCTACAAGGTCCAAGTCAAATGCCACCTTATGTCTTTCTGGTTTTTTTTTTCCGTTTTTTTTTTCTTTTTTTATTCTTTTTTTTTTCTTCTTTCCTTATGCCTTTCTGATTCGTCTCCCACATCCCAGCCTGTATACACATCCACTTAATCTTTGCTTTTTATTCCCACCCCATTTGGCCTCCATTTAACATTCATTCCTTTGTTGCTTATATAATATTTACTTCTATTATTGGTTTTCCAAGTAGATTCTAAGATCTCTGAGGCTATGGCCCATTAGGTTTTTATTTTGATCTATTCTTCCCCTTTAAGCAGAAAAACAGCTCCTTAAACATGATAAATACTCAAAAATATTAAAATATTAAAGGTAGCCATATTTCTACTATAATGAATTATTACAGTGAAGTAATTGTTGCCATCATATAATTTCTTTACTGAATTTTCAGTTGCTAGCATAGAAGTTTTTATTGTTATTTTTACAATCTTGCTTGTTTCTTCTACTTTCTAAGAAATGATTGGAAAAAACAAACTGATTTTAGCACTTCAAGCAAAAAGCAATGGCACCTGAAAATTTTCCTGGAAAAATAGAATTAAAAGGTCAGTTTATTTGGGGACAAAAAATTTTGAAGTCCATGCATAGTTTTTTTCATAACATACATTTTTAGGAACTTTTCAAAGACCTCTCAATGCATGGATTTCAAAAATCTATGGCAACAAAATAAACTGATCATTTAATTCCACTCTCCACGAACTTTTTGAAGTACGCTTGTACAATTAGTGAAGTAATAAGATCCTTTAAAAAGCCATGTGATATACTTTAAAGCCAAATTGAAATTCAGATTTATCTGCAACATAAAGACATTTATTTATCCAGCACATACTGTTTGAGCACTCATCTCCCCACTCACCAGCTTACTCCTTGTACTGCCTTTCTTAGCCACCTATTGGTTTCTTGGTCACCTACTGGTTTCAACTAGGAACCTCAAACTGATCTCTTTTCCTCTTTCTGATCATTTCTCTAGCTTGCCTCCTTTGTTTCAACTCTGCCTTTGAACTGGCCTGTGATCCTGTTTCTAGCCCCTTGTCATTCCACTCTCAATTTATTCTGCATAAGGCTGAACATAATGTTCCTTTTCTTAAGCAGATGTGATCTTCTTATTTAAAAGACCTTTGAAGATTTATTTATTGGGAGCCCAGCACTGTGGCATAGCAGGTAAAAGCTGCTGCCTGCAGTGCTGGCATCCCTTATGGGCACCAGTTCGAGTCCCTGTTGCTCCTCTTCCGATCCAGCTCTCTGCTATGGCCTGGGAAAGCAGTAGAAGATGGCCCAAGTCCTTGGGCCCCTGCACCCCTGCACCCTTGTGGCAGACCTGGAAGAAACTCCTGGCTCCTGGCTTCAGATAGTAGCAGCTCCCGCCGTTGCTGCCAATTGGGGAGTGAACCAGTGGATAGAAGACCTCTCTCTCTCTCTCTCTCTGCCTCTCTTTGTAACTCTATCAAATAAATAAATAAATAATCTTTTAAAACAGTTGGGAAAAAAGATTTATTTATTTACTTGAGGCAGAGTTACAGACACAGAGAGGGAGAGACACACACAGAGAAAGAGAGGTCTTCAGTCCACTGGTTCACTCCCTAAATGGCCACAAACAACCAAGGCTGGGCCAGATCAAAGCCAGGAGCCAGGAGCTTTTTCTGGGTCTCCCATGCAGGTGTAGGGGCCCAAGCACTTGGGCCATCTTCTGCTTTCCCAGGCCATAGCAGAGAACTGGAATTGGAAGTGGAGCAGCCGGGACTAGAACCAGCGCCCATATGAGATGCCGGTGCCACAGGTGGATGCGGCCCTTAGAACGTTAAGGTTTAAGAACTCCAAGGAAACTATGCTTTGAGTTTCCCATTGGGCTCAAAGGCTATAGTCCAAAAACTACAATCTAGTTTCTGCCAAATTTCCCCATCTTTGTTCCTGCCACTCCCTCTCATGTACCAAGTTATAACCATTCTGAACCTCTCTGTTCCACAAACATGTCTCTGCCTGAGCATGTATTCCCATTCTTTGAAACGTCTTCCTGCTTCTCCTCTGTTTAGTGAATTCATGCCTCCTCGATGGAGCCTTCTCCAAGACCCAAGGCAGAGGTCTCTGTCCTTTGAATTCACACAAATCATCACTTTGTTCTGGCACTTACCTGTAGCCTAGTTTTCCCTAAATACACTGTGACTTGCTCTCAGAAAAATGTCCTTTTTATTTTTAGACCTTCAAGGCCCTAGCATAAAGCATAAAGTTATATAGCACATAGTAGGTGCTCATTAAATATCTTTGATTACACAACTATATGTGCTCTTAAGACACAATGTGAGGGGCCAACACTGTGGCATAGTAGGTAAAAGCTGCCACCTGCAGTGCTGGCATCCCATATGGGCGCCAGTTCTAGTCCCGGCTGCTCCACTTCTGATCCAGCTCTCTGCTCTGGCCTGGAAAAGCAGTGGAAGATGGCCCAAGTCTTTGGGCCCAAGCACCCGCGTGGGAAACCCAGAAGAAGCTCCTGGCCATTGCGGCCAATTGGGGAGTGAACCATTAGGTGGAAGATTCTCTCTCTCTCTCTCTCTCTGCTTCTCCTCTCTCTGTGTAACTCTGACTTGCAAATAAATAAATAAGTCTTAAAAAAAAGACACAATGTGAAAGTAACATATGGTAAATTCAATGTCTGGCATTTTGAGAAATAACCAGAGTAGAGATAGAACGGACAAATGACTTCGGAAGGTAATTTCTAACTTTATTTTCACACTTAGCTTTAAATCTCTCCTCTCTTTTCATTCCCTTCTTGTTTGAGTCCTCACGAGCTTTGAGAAAAGACTGAAAAGGAGAAGGTAGAGTTCTGAAAAAGAGAAAGGAACTAGACAATGAGTATCTTAGCAACCAAGAGTAAAATGTTGCAAACTACTTGAAATTTATTGCCTCAAGTCATTCTATATTATAAAAGTTTGGTTTCCCCAGCTAGATTGCACTGTTTATGGGATTTTTTTTTTGTATACTTGGCAAGTTAGCTGCTGATTTAATGACTGTTTCAGCTTTTTGTTCTGGATAATGCCTCTCACTACACTTTAATGATGGGCTAAAGTTGGCAAGATAAACGAGGTGATTCTAAGATGTAGTGCCTTAGGAAAGGGAAGATAGAGATAAACAAAATATTCTGTTGATGTCCTGCCCCATATTTCTGTTAACAGCAATTTTGTTCTGTTTTGAAAGGTATCGACTTCTGATTAGTGTAATATTTAGCCAAGATCCAGTTGGATTTTTTTAACTTGTGAACTTAATTGATACCATGACTGGCATGCATTAGACCCTCAGTAAGTGTTTCAGGCGGTTCAGCATTGACTTAATGTTTAGAAATAACTAGGCAAACATTAAAGCAAGCTTGACTTTTACATTTTGAATTTCAGTTGTTTCCACCTCCTTCCATTTCTACTTCACTCAGCCGCGTTCATCAAATAAAACAGGTAAGAAGGCTTTCAAACCTGACAGCTGCTCATTAAGGAAAAGTAAATTTTAAGTTTCTTTTAAGAAATACCTAAGTTTAAGTAACTCTAAGTGAAGTCACATGTAATTAAGTTTTAATTCCAGAAATGATTTCTTAAAAACAAGAACACCTGAGCCCTCTTTGTATTTAGCGTCTTGACTATTTTAATAAATTGATAGTTTCCAGAAATAATACATACTCTTATCCCTTGAATCTAGTTTTTTTTCCAGGGACATCAGTGAATAATGTTAGATATAAAAATTTTCAGGTTCGTAATAATTGCAGCTGTCATGTTTTTCTTTTAAACCCACTGAAGACTTTCTTGACAGAGACAATGGCCCTTATCTTATCGTTTTGTGTTTGACTCTGAGTGAACTGGGTTCAGGGACACATTGTACCTCACTGGTTTATGTTTTGTGCGCACATGTATTCGTATGTGCATGTACATGTGCTTAAAGGCACAAGTCTAATACAGAATTAAACCTTTTAATTATCCAAGGATTAGCCACAGAACTCAAAAGATCAAATCACCACTTCACCACAGGTGGTAGGATTTTTCTGACTCAGCTACAAGCAGACTGTTTTTTCAAGGTAGAGCTTAACTGTTATGAAGCACTTATTATTCACCTAGCGCTAGTAATATAATAGGTACTTTACCTTAGTGGGCTCATTTCATCTCACAACTACCTTTTAATGTCAGAAAGCAAAGATGAGAGAAATTGAGTAATTTACCCAATGATCTAGAGTTAGTGAATGTCAGAATCAAAATTTAGCCTCAACTTACCAGATTCCTTTTTTTTTTTAAGATTTATTTATTTTATTTGAAAATCAGAGTTACAGTGAGACAGGAAGAAACAGAGAAAGGGGCCGGCGCCGTGGCTCAATAGGCTAATCCTCCACCTTGCGGCGCCGGCACACCGGGTTCTAGTCCCGGTTGGGGCGCCGGATTCTGTCCCGGTTGCCCCTCTTCCAGGCCAGCTCTCTGCTATGGCCAGGGAGTGCAGTGGAGGATGGCCCAGGTGCTTGGGCCCTGCACCCCATGGGAGACCAGGAAAAGCACCTGGCTCCTGGCTCCTGCCAGGATCAGCGCGGTGCGCCGGCTGCAGCGGCGGCCATTGGAGGGTGAACCAACGGCAAAAGGAAGACCTTTCTCTCTCTGTCTCTCTCTCTCTCACTGTCCACTCTGCCTGTCAAAAAAAAAAAGAAACAGAGAAAGGAGAGAGGTGGATCGGAAGTGGAGGAGCTGGGATGCCGGCACTGCAGACAGCAGCTTCACCTGCTATGCTACAGCACTGGGCCCCCTCCACAAACTTTTTGAAGTACCCTCCTAGCTATTTTACAAATTCTTAAAGAATGAAAAAAAAATATCTTTTTAAAAAGATTTATTTATGGGGCCGGCACTGTGGCACTGTGGGTAAAAGCCCTGACCTGAAGCACCAGCATCCCATATGGGCACCGGTTCTAGTCCCGGCTGCTCCTCTTCCAGTCCAGTTCTCTGCTACTGCCTGGAAAGCAGCAGAGGATGGCCCAAGTCCTTGGGCCCCTGCACCCACATGGGAGACCTGGAAGAGGCTCCTGGCTCCTGGCTTCGGATTGGTGCAGCTCCGGCCGTTGTGGCCATCTGGGGAGTGAACCAGCGGATGGAAGACCTCTCTCCCTCTGTCTCTACCTCTCTCTGTAACTCTGTCTTTCAAATAAATAAAATAAATCTTTCAAAAAAGTATTATTTATTTATTTGAAAGGGCTCGAGGGAGAGAAAGAAAGATCTTGCATCTACTGATTTACTCCCCAAATGGCTGCTGTAGCCTGGGTTGGGCCAGGCCAAAGCCAGGAGCCAGGAGCTTCATCTGTCTCCCGCATGAGTGGCAGGAATCTGAGTCCTTGGGTCATTGTCCACACACATTAATAAGGAGCTGCCTTGGAATTTACCCAAAGGAAGTTAAATTGGCAAACAAAAAAGCGGTCTGCACCCTAATGTTTATTGCAGCTCAATTCACAATAGCTAAGACCTGGAACCAACCTAAATGCCCATCAACGGTAGACTGGATAAAGAAATTATGGGATATGTACTCTTTAGAATACTATATCGCAGTAAAAAACAATGAAATCCAGTCATTTGCAACAAAATGGAGGAATCTGGAACACATCATGCTGAGTGAAATAAGCCAGTCTCAAAGGGACAAATATCATATGTTCTCCCTGATCGGGGACAACTGACTGAACACCAAAAAGGAAACCTGTTGAAGTGAAATGGACACTATGAGAAATGGTGACTTGATCAGCATAGCCCTGACTGTTAATGAACAACTGAATACGTTATCCCTCTTAGTATTTTTTTTTGTCTGTTCTACTTAATACTACTGGTTTAATTCTGTAATTAATACACAGTTATTCTTAAGTGTTGAAATTTAACTGAAATGTAATCCCTGTTAAATATAAGAGTGGGAATAAGAGTGGGAAGAGATGTACAATTTGGGACATGCTCAAGCTGACTTGCCCCAAATGGTAGAGTTAGAAACATACCAGGGGATTCCAATTCAATCCCATCAAGGTGGCATGTACCAATGCCATCTCACTAGTCCAAGTGATCAATTTCAGTTCACAATTGATCATAATGAAAGGACTAGGAGTCAAAGGAATCACATAAACAAGTCTAGTACCTGCTAATACTAACTAATAGAATAAATAAAGGGGAGAGCGATCCAACATGGGAAGCGAGATACACAGCAGACTCATAGAATGGCGGATGTCCTAAACAGCACTCTGGCCTCAGAATCAGCCCTAAAGGCATTCGGATCGGCCGAAAAGCCCATGAGAGTATTTCAGGCATGGAAAGCCAAGACACTCTGGCAAAAACAAAAACAAAAAAGGACCTAAATGAAAGATCTCTGTGAGTGAGATCCCAGTGGAAAGAACAGGTCTTCAAAGAAGGAGGTACCTTTCTCTGAAGGGAGGAGAGAACTTCCACTTTGACTATGACCTTGTCTAAATAAGATAAGAGTCGGTGAACTCAAAAGGCTTCCATAGCCTTGGAAACTCATGACTGGAGCATAGGGAGATTACTGATGCCATAAACAGGAGTGTCAATTGGTAAAGTCAACAACAGGAGTCACTGTGCACTTACTCCTCATGTAGGATCTCTGTCCTTAGTGTGCTGTACATTGAGATTTAATGCTATAACGAGTACTCAAACAGTATTTTTCACTTTGTGTTTCTATATGGGTGCAAACTGTTGAAATCTTTACTTAATGTATACTAAACTGATCTTCTGTATATATAGAAAATTGAAAATGAATCTTGATATGAATGGAAGGGGAGAGAGAGTGGGAAAGGGGAGGGTTGCAGGTGGGAGGGAAGTCATTGGGGGGGGGGGCAATGTAATCCATAAGCTGTACTTTGGAAATCTATATTCATTAAATAAAAGTTAAAAAAAAAATAAGGAGCTGGATTGGAAGCCAAGCATTTGGAACTTAAACCAGTGCCCCAATATGGGATGCATATATTGCAAGTGGTGGCTTAACCTCCTGTGCCTCTGCTTTGTGCAATTTGTTTCTTTGGTTTTTCTAAATTAAATCAAATATTTGAAATATTCATGTATTGCTTTTTGTTCTTGAAGCTTGAAATAAAGACAAATTTAACTGCTTAGTAATATGTTATAAAGCAACTTATTTTCATAATGACAGAGTATTATATATAAACATTTATATTATTATATTGTATTATATTATAAACATTTAAGATGAAACAGAAGTAGAAAATGAATGAAACAGTAAAACAAAAATAACATTAACTTTTCATTTGGGTACTAATTGAATGGGAAATTGAGACTTATTTTTAGCAGTTTAATGGTCTGATATCTTAAGTTGCATATTTCTTTACATGTGTTCTTTAACTCTGACTTACTTTTTGCTACTGAACTTAATTGTCTATAAGCGCAAAACAGAAATGTCTGATTCTCTCTCAATTACACTCTACACTTTCATTTTAACAACACTAATAATATTTCATTTTTCAGTTAAATGGAGGAAATAAGAGTAGTTACTCATAGGATTGTTGTAAAGATGAAAGAAATTAATATATGCGTAGTGCCTGGTATCAGCATTAAAAAAGCCCCTCTTTAAATGGAAATTTAAATATATATGAAAATAGAATCTCCATGTACCAACATCCAGCTCTAACAATTTACATTTTGTTCATCATTTTTCATCTTCCTCCTTTTATTTTGGAGGGCAGAGTGCTTTCAGGTAAATACCCCAGTTTATAAATCTGAGAAGGCTTTTTTTTCCCATAATCACAATGCCAACATTTAATATAACAGATGAAGTTATTCCTTAATGTTTTCTAAGTCCAAATTTAATTATTCCTGATTCTCAAAAAGTGCCTTTTTTACAGATTCAAAGAAACTAGGCCATTTGTCCTATAGAATGTCCCCCATTTTGGATTCTGCTTCCATGTGTTTTTTTTTTTTCTATTCCCTGTGTCTCCCGTAAACTGATTTGATTAAATTTGCTTTTATCTTGAAATAAGCACACGGCCTCAAATCAGTGTTAGGTTCTGGATCACCAATTAAGTAAGCATGTACTTTAAGTTGCATCTTTCCTGTTCAGCAATTAATGGGCAAGTTCTTGACTGTGGTCATTAGGAAATTTCTAGGTATTAAAGAGATTGAGAGCTTCAAGCTGGAAGTTAATTTTCTAAACACACAATAATTCTTCCTAAATATTCAGGAATTATTCTTTTTGTGTAATTTTCCTTATTTAATAGCAGTTGAGCTTGCATTTCAAGAGATTTGCAAGCATTCAGTTTCTGATTATCTATATATTCCAAAGCGCTAAACATGAGTGCCCAGCAGAAATAGTTTGTATATGAGTTTGTTCAGGTCACCACAACAAAGTACCTCAAACTGGATGGATTAAACAAGAGAACTATTTAGTCTCTTAGTTCTGGGGGCTAGACATCTGAAATCAAAGCGTTGGCAGGGTTGCTTCCCTCTGACAGCGGTGAGGGAAGGATCTGTTCCCGGCCTTTCCCTGTTGGCTTATAAATGGCTGTCTTCATGTTTGCATGGTGTTCTCTCTGTGTATGTGTCAAACTCCAAATTTACCTTTTTTATATGTTATCAGTCATATTGGATCAGGGCCCACCCTCATGACCTCATCCTAACTTGATTACCTTTGCAAAGACCTATCTCCAATCGTGTCACATTCTGAGGCGCTGGGAGCTAGGACTTCAGCATATGAATTTGGGGATCCCTCTTAACCCATAACAATTTGTTCACACCATTCGCTTATATGACTTGACATTTATTTCCTGACTTATTAAATAGGATGTAAACGCATTGTTACTCAGTAAGAGCTTAACTTTCTCTCTGGTTTCTTAAATCAATAAAAACTGTTCTTTTGTGCTACTTCAAGTAGCTCTTGTACTCATATCTTCACAAATGTGAACTTTGATAACATACACTACTTTTATCTCTTTATCTTACCTGGACTATACAGATTAAATTGGGGTTAGACACAGATGCAAGGAACCTTATGAAATGAGCTATTTACAAGGGAGTACACCAGCTAGAGTCCGGATCATGAATATGATAGACACAATTTGGATAGCATCTGTGTGTGTAAGTTTTTTTTTTCCTGTTGACCAGCTTTCACTGTAAGTCTATCTTATGGATCTTATCATCATTTTCTAACGTAGTAAAGTACTGAAATTAGATTTCTATGATCTTTTTGAGTTTTCTGTGGAACCCAGTAAGTACCTAGTCTCTTTTATGAAGAACAGCTCTTTAAGGGAATAGCCTAACTTGCTTTACAGGAAATTTCAATTGATCTTAGTTTACAAATTGTTTCATGCTATCAACAAGCATTTACTGAGCACTGTGTAGGCATTCAATAGCTAAAATATTTCAAGGATAGTCTTCTTAAGAGAACAGAAATTAGTAATTTACTAATTCCATTTCTACCTTGTATATTAAAAAATTGAATGCTTACTTTAAATGATCAACTGCAGCAACTTTCCTCAGCCTACTACTCTTTACCCCTAAAAATTATGTGGATATTGACCCTTTTTTTTTCTTGTTTTAGCATCTTTTGATGTGCTTTTTGGTCATTTGTATATCTTCTTTAGAAAAATGTCTATCTGGGGTTGGTACTTGGCAACCCATATTGGGGTGCCTGGGTTCAACTTCTGATTCCAGCTTCCTGCTAATGCACATCCCGGGAGGCAGCAGGTGATGGCTCACACACTAGGATTCCCCACTGAAGACTCAGATTGAGTTCTTGACTTCTGCTTTTGGCCTGGCCCAGCCCTGGCTATTGCAGGCATTTGGGGAGTGAACTTGTAGATGGAAGATACCTATCAGTCTGTCTTCTGCCTCTCTGACTTTCAAATGAATTAAGACAAATAAATAAAAAACTTTTTAAGATTTATTTATTTATTTGAAAGGCAGAGTTACCAAGGTTGAGGGGGTGGGGAGAGATCTTTCATCTGCTGGTTCACTCCCCAAATGGCTGCAATGGTCAGTGCTGGGCCAGGCCACAGCCAAGAACCAGGAACTTCTTCTGGGTCTCCCATGTGGGTGGCAGGGGCCCAAGCACTTGCGCCATCTTCTGTTGCTTTTCCAGGTGCATAAGAAGGGAGCTGGATTGCAAGTGGAGTAGCCAGGACTCGAACTGGTGCCTACATATGGGATGCTGTTGTCACAGGCGGAGGCTTAACCCACTGCACCACAACACCAACCCCAATAAATAAAAATTTTTAAAATGAGAAATGTCTATTCAAGACCTTTGCATTTGCAGCAAAATGAGTAGAAGGGGAGACCGTTATAGTCAATGAAATTAGCCAGACACAGAAAGACAAATACCACATATTCTCTTTCATATGTGGAAGTCAAAAAAAATTGATCTGAATTTAGAATAGAGATTGCTAGAATCTGGAAAGGATGGGAGAGGAGGAATAGAGGGAGGTTGGATAAAGAGTACTAAAACATAACTAGGAGAAGTAACAGCTTCTAGAGTTCCACATACTAATGAGATGACTGTGGGTCACGATAATGTATTATATACTAAAGAAAGAACTGAATGAGAGTAGCTCATAGTCTCCAAACACAAAGGTAAGAAGGGGAGATGGAGATTTTGATTGTCTTCTTTGATCAGTTTATGCTATTGAAGTATTGCCCTGTGCCCCATATAGGTGTACAAATATTACAAGCTAATCAAAAAATTTTAGAAATAAAAAAAAGACTTTGCTCATTTTTTGAGGATATCCAGGGCTTTATTTTGTAATGGAGAGGCCATATCGTGGCCCCAACCCCACTTCCCACCCTGCACTTTTTAAATTTTTATCACTCTAGGCCTTGCTCATATTTAACTGGATTATTTGTTGCTGTTGTTGAGTTGTAGGAATTCTTTTTATATGCTAGATAATAATCCTTTATCAGATATATAATTTGCAAATATCTTCTCCAATTCTCTAGTTGTCTTTTAATTCTCTTGACTTTCTCTTTTGATGTATGATTTTTTTTTAAATTTTGCTGAAGATTGATTTATCTGTTTCTCTGTTGGCTGTGCTTTTGGTGCCATATCCAAGAAATCATTGTCAAACCCAGTGTCATGAAAACATAACAATATTTTCTTCAAAGACTTTCATGGTATTAACACTTGAGTTTAGATCTTTGATCCATTTAGAATTAATTTTTTGCACATGATGTAAGAGAGAGTTCCACTTCATTCCTTTGCATATGGAAATGATGTTAGTTTTCCTAACATCATCATTTGTTGAAAAGACTGTCCTCTCTCAGTTGAATGACCTTGACATTCTTGTCAAAAATCATTTGACCATATACGTGAAGATTTATTTTTGGGTTCTTTATTCTTTTCCGTTGGTCTTTATGTCTGTTCTTGTGCCAGTACATACTTTTTTTTCCTTTTCTTTTCAGCTTATCTGTATTTGTTACAACCTTTTAAAGCAGGATAACTTGGGGACCACATTTCCTTTCACAAGCCTTGCTGAGTTATTCTTTGAACAGCTTTACAACACACTGAAGTAGGTTTATAATTTTGTTCCCCTAAACAATACTCTTTGAAAAACAAGCCTCGTGGAGCCTTGTGGAGAGTTCCTCCCATCAAATTGTTTCAGTATTTCTTAGAGGAGTACATGCAGGATAGGTAACTACAGGGGAAAGTTTTAAAAGTGGGTCCTACAAGGTGGAACTCAAGTCATTTTAACAAATATTTTTCTTTTATATACCAAGGTATATCTCAAAACACTTCAGTGACAAAAGATTTAGTCCACTAAGGAATCCAGCTTGATAGCTAAACACTTTAAGACTACAAAGTTGACAATAGGTTATACACATCTTACAACAAATATTACCTTGATTACTGAAGCTTTGTAAAAAGTTTTGAGATCAAGTGTGGGTCTTTCAATTTGACTCTTCTTTACAAGATTGCTTTGGCTACTCAGAATCCCTTGATATTCCATATAAATTTTAGTACAGGTTTTTCAATCTTTGCACAAAAATGCCATTGGGATTTTGATAATACTTGTATTGCATCTATAGTTCACTTGGGGTAGAATTGTCATCTTAATAATTTTAAATGTTTTTATCTATAAACACAGGATGTCTTTATATATGTGAGTTATTTTTAAAAATAACTGAAAATGATACTTGCATATTATTGAAAAGTCAAATAATAGAGTTACAAAGAAACAACAAGTTACTTCAAATCTCACTATACATGTTCATAACCACTGTTAACTTTTTGGTGAGCATTCTTATGAGTAACCATCTTTTACAATTTTACATAAATAGAATGCATTTTTCTCACATTTTTTAAAAGAATGTTTGTCTCATCATTTAGTTAAGCAGACTCATATCAATAGACATTTAGTTTGTTTTGGACTATTAGTAGCATTTGTTAATATCAGTGTTCATTGCAGGGAAAATTATTTATCTTCAAGGTTTATCAGGGAAAATTGTCTAATTTTGAATGTTCGATGCTTCTCTTTTGAATGAAGAAAGTTTTTCCTCTAATTGATTCCTGCAAATCTGTGGTACTTTAATGATGAATGATACAGATCTTTGATGTGGGAATTTGTACAATGATGAATAGAGAAGTAGACACTTGTTTAGAGGTTTGCATATACTCTAACTCTTCTATAGCCCAGTGAATAATAATAAACATGTGTCCAAATGAAATTTTGAAGCTTTCAACCCAAATGACACATTGTAAAACCATAGCAGCTGGATATATTCAGTTTATTCTCACTTTTCCCATCTTTCAGGAGGAAAGCATGGATTTAATAGATCGAGAGACACTGCATGAACAGTGAGTACTATACTTTGAATTATGATTCTGATAATTTTTATATGCAGTTATATCTTTTCTTGCAGATAAACAAACTGCAATACTGATTTCTTTTGTTTTACAGGGAAGTACAAACTGCAATACAGATAAGCCAATCTTGGGAAAAATGTTTGAACCTGGTATGGTATTAACACTTCAATTTTGTAGAAAATTTCAAATTTTTACTGATTTATAGTACCTGGGATTACTTAGTTCCACTGTAATTTCTAGAAATATAGGTTCCCATTTTAATACTAAAATTGTACATGTTACATAATTTGTGATTGCTTTTTATTGCTCTTAAGATTTACCCATAAAAATAATTATCATTGTTCGAAAGTGGGATTAAAAGTAAGTAGTTGCTTGATAGAAAACTATGGTTGTTGTAAAGCAGCCTCTCTGTCCTATTTGAACTAAAAGAACATTCATTTGTGCTTAAAATACTTATATGACAAGACAGTAAATGATTTTACTCCTCTCTACACAACTTATTAACTATATGTTAGAGTTTTAAACCAAAGACAATGGCTTTACTGGAAAAACAGTGCAGTTTTATGTCTAACACATACATTCCCTTTAACACATTCCCAGCAACATTTTAATAGATGACCTCTAATTTAAACATATTTAGAACTTAGTTATATCCCTTACTAACATATTTAATGTCTCTGGATACATTATGGTTTCTTGATTGTGGTAGTTCAGTGGTGTGTAGCATTATTTTCATTGGCCATTGCAGAATAAGAATTGAGCGGGAATTTCAGTTGGAAGGATCTGATTGATGTCGGGTCTCAGATTTGGGAGTTATTTGATAAGGAAATAGATCATTAGTAATGGCATCTTTTTTTCCTTTGAGTATTGATTTTGGAGTAGGTCCTGAAGAATGGAGTGTTTAACTTTAAGAGCCGATCACTTTTCCTTCTTTGGTGCTAATACAATTCATAGGTGCGCTGTTGGAGTCCCTTAACTAGCCCAGCTTTACTTATTTAGGTGTTTTACTTTTTTTTTTTAAGATTTATTTTATTTATTTGAAATACAGAGTTACAGAGAGAGGTAGACAGAGAGGTCTTCCATCTGCTGGTTCACTCCCCAGAGCTGCACCAATCTGAAGCCAGGAGCCAGGAGCTTCCTCCAGGTCTCCCACGTGGGTGCAGGGGCCCAAAGACTTGGGCCATCTTCCACTGCTTTCTCAGGCCATAGCAGAGAGCTGGATGGGAAGAGGAGCAGCCGGGACTAGAACCGGCGCCCACATGGGATGCTGGTGCTTCAGGCCAGGGCTTTAACCCACTGCGCCATAGCGCCAGCCCCCTAGATGTTTTTCTAAGAGAATCTGTGAGTGTGCTAGGAAAAAGGGGACAAGTAATATACAAGTTTAATTTGGCTTGCATTTTGGAAAAGAACAGATTTTAAAATCATTCATTGTGAGTTTCTGGATTTGTTCACATAGCATGTATAAACATTTTTCATAGATGTAATTTCCCTCTTGTCCCATTTCTATTTTACTTCTAGCCAAAGCCTTTTTTTTTTGCCAGACAGAGTTAGGCAGTGAGAGAGAGAGAGAGAGAGAGTTATAGACAGTGAGAGAGAGAGACAGAGAGAAAGGTCTTCTTTTACCGTTGGTTTACCCTCCAATGGCTGCTGCAGCCGGCCCATCACGCTGATCCGAAGCCAGGAGCCAGGTGCTTCTCCTGGTCTCCCATGGGGTGCAGGGCCCAAGCACTTGGGCCATCCTCCACTGTACTCCCGAGCCACAGCAGAGAGCTGGCCTGGAAGAGGAGCAACCGGGACAGAATCTGGTGCCCCGACTAGGACTAGAACCCAGGGTGCCGGTGCTGCAGGCGGAGGATTAGCCAAGTGAGCCAAAGCCTTTTAAAAGTTCTTTCCTGGACATAGTTGTGGTTAAGTACAAGGCAAATCCCAGAAGAAAAACTTAAATTTAGGGTTTGTGTATATGAGCATACTTCAAAAAGTTCATGGAAAATAGAATTAAAAATAAGTTTTTTTGGTGCAAAACTTTTGAAATGCACTCAGTTTTTTTAATAATTTAAATTTTTAGTGAACTTTTTGAGGATCTTTCATATAAATGGATTTAAAAAATTTTTGTTCTAAAATAAACTTATCTTTTAATTCCATTTTTATGAATTTTTTGAAGTACCCTTCGGATGTATAGTATATATCGTTTGAAAAATGAGAACTCATATTCTGAGTTTTTCTGGGGATGCTAGAGAAGCCCTTCAGTTATCATATGGCTCTCTTCCCCCAAAGGCAAAGCATGCCCTAAATTGTTGATGTGGACCTTGGGTTTCCTATGGCCAGTGACTTAGTGGGACAGACTCCCTTACTTCTGCAACAAATATCTCACTAAGTATTTGTTTAGTAAGCAATTGATGCTACAATTATATATGGTTTCTGCTTCTACAGAATGACAACGATTTAGAAAAACCACTCTCTCTGAAGTGCATTGATCTTATCTCGGTACTTCCAGTGGTTTCTCCCAGCCAGGGAATCGAGAAGGTAAGAAAGGAATACCTAAAAGTCTGTGTCCCATGAAATATTTACAAAGCATACTTAACCAGAGCTTTTGGGGACTAGATTTTTGCTGTATTATGTCTGATTCTGTCAGTTTATTTATGTATAGTAAAAGTCACCAACTTTTAAGCACATATTAGATGAATTTTGGTAATTATGCATACTTCCATACTGTAGTCATATTCAAGATATAGAGCAGTTCTCATATTATAAACAATTTCCTCATGATTCTTTCCACTCAGTATCCCTCCACATCAGCCCCTGTGCCCTAGGAAACTACTGATTTGGTTTCTGAGAAAAGTAGTGGTTTTAAAGCTTCTGTTCCAATTTGGTTTCAGCAATGCTTTTCTCCATCGTTACGAACTTCTGTGAGTTGCGCCGGTTTTCCTCCAAGTCCTAGTCCCAGCCCTTCGCAACAAAATGCAATGTAAGTTTGTTATATGAAAATAAGAATAATAAGTTTGTTATAAGAAAATAAGAGTAAGAATGGAAATAAGAAAGTAAGAATCTTAGGAACTTAAAAAAATTACAGCTCTAGGTTCTATGACAACCAAAGAAGTGATTTCTGTTCAGCAAAATTAAAATTTCAGTTGTTTGGACTTATCATTTTATGTACTGAAATAAATCAATTAACTAAGAATCTATAATGAGTTAAGTAATTGAATGGCCATAATCTCCCTGTGACCAAGCATATTGATAGGATCAGAGCTAACTCTAGAACTTTAAACAACTGCATCCCTAATTCTCACCTTGAGTCAAAGCAAGTCCCAGCCAGGACTGCAGGTCTTTCTAGAATGTAGGATTCAAAATTCCAAATCCCTGTGAATTAGAAGGCAGTTTGTTTCTGAGGCATTCTGTTTTTACCCATATTTAGAGAAAAGCAATAAAATGATATAATATATTATGTACTATACAGATTCTTCTGTTAGCATATGCCCTTAGATCTATGATAATGAAATAGTAATTGCTGATTTTCTTCACCATTTTTCTGGTAATGATCATAATGATTTTATTTTAGAAGCAGTCACAACCCCACCAACATTGTTAGACCAAGTATCCTTGGACCAATAAAAAGAAAAGGTATTTTTATTTACCAGAAGAAATAAATATAACTTTAAGTTATTTTTGTAAAGTATTTAAAATCAAGTGTTACACAAAAATTGTTTTGATAGAATTTATTTATTTAGAATGTATTTGATAAGTTACTAGAGTCCTTACCTTTTACCCAAATAGAAATGTTTATAAAGATATTTTTGAAAATTATGAAGTATTGTATAAGAATCTTTAAAAAGTTCATGAAAAACATATATTATGGAAAAATTATCCATGGATCTCAAATTTTGTTTGCACCCAAATAAACTTATCTTTTAATTCCACATTTCTATGACTTTATGAAGTACTCTTACATAAATGTGAATTTAGACATTTGATTCCAATTTAGTCAGCTATTACGATTTTCCTTTTATAAATTAATTTACCAAGCTAGTTGCCTTAAATGCTTCCTGAAACAAGGTGGGAATAAATGAGTGAATGAAGAAATACTTAGAATGAGTCAGCCATCAAGTGTTTTACTGAATCTCAACCCCTGTCCCATTGTCACATGTACAAGTTGATATATGAATAAGTTGCTGCACGTTAGCTCTACTTAGAGCAGTAAAAATACATGCGGAAGTGTATGATCTTTGATGTCCAGCTTCTTTGTGGGGGTTATTTTTGGTTAAATATGTAGAAAGTGACCTACTTACTCAGTAATAAGACAGTGAGAACAGAATTTTTTGTTAAACTCTCACAGGCCTGAATCCCACTTCTCAGTGCTACCTCACCAAGCTATGCTCTTCTTCCTTTTAAAATACTACTGTTATATATTTAGTACATGGTTTAACTACAGTGGACAAGAGGAAATAAGTAATAGGAATGGAAATGAAACTTAAAATATCCATTTGTGGAAGTCTATTAGGATAGGAGAGGAGGAAGTGCAGAATTATAGGAAAAGGAATGGAAATATACTTAAATGGTTCATGCGTGTGTGTATGTATATATGTGTGTGTGTATGTTAATTTGAGAGGCAAAGTTACAGAGAGAGAGAGAGAGGTCTTCCATCTGCTGGTTCACTCCCTAACTGGCCACAATGGCCGGGGCTGGGCCAGGCAGAAGCCAGGAGCCAGGAGCTTCATTTGTGTCTCCTATGTGGGTGCAGGGGCCCAAGCACTTGGGCCATTTTCCTCTGCTTTTCCAGGCCATAAGCAGAGAGCTGGAGGGGAAGAAGAGCATCCAGGACGGGAACCAGTGCCCATATGGGATGCCAGAGCTGTGGGTGGAAGCTTAGCCACATTGCTGGCCTCCAGTCCATATATTTTGAATTAATTAATGGCAAGTTTCCTAACAACATACCAAACTCAGCATTTTTTTGAAAAAAGATTTATTTATTTGCTTGAAAGGCAGAGGCAGAGGCAGAGAGAGGTCTTCCATCCACTGGTTCACTCCCCAGCTGGCTGCAACGGCCAGAGCTGTGCCGATCCAAAGCCAACAGCCAGGAGCTTCTTCAAGGTCTCCCACATGGGTGCAGGGGCCCAAGCACTTGGGCCATCTTCCACTGCTTTCCCAGGCCATAGCAGAGAGCTGGATCAGTAGTGGAGCAGCCAGGACTAGAACCGGCGCCCATATGGGATGCCACACTACAGGCAGTGGCTTTACCCACTATGCCACAGTGCTGGCCCCAGCATATTCTTTTTATATTCCAAAACCAAGAGTTGATAAACTCTAAAAAACACTTATTTCCAAATTAAGTAAATGGTTTTATGAAGAGACATCAATAACTAAGCTGGGGTGTTTTGCCTGTGCTGTGAAATTTGGGCTAGTGTTGAAAAAATATTCAAATATATCAGCAGTTTGAGAGCTGTTAGGGAGTTGGAGCCTCCTGAGTGTTAAAAGTGTACTCAATCTGAAGACAGTTATTTGCCAAATTAAAATGGTTCTCCTTTTAAGACATTTGTATATAAACTATTTTATTTTTCTTAGAATGTATGATTTAAAAAAATTTTTTTAAAGATTTATTTATTTGAAAGGCAGAAATACAGAGAGGGAGAGAGATCTTCCATCTGTTGGTTCAATCCCCAAATGGCCACAACAGCCAGGGCTGGGCTGGACGGAAGCCAGTAGCCAGGAGCTTCTTCCAGGTCTCCCATGTGGGTGCAGGGGCCCAAGTATGTGGGCCATCTTCTACTGCTTTCCCAGGCCCATTAGCAGGGAGCTGGATAAGTGGAGCAGCCAGGAATCTAACCAGTGCCCATAAGGGATGCTGGTGTTGCGGGTGGCGGCTTTACCTACTACACCACAGCACCAGCCCCTGTATAGTCTGTTAGGTTTTAGGATTTTAGGGCTCAAAGGAGGAGAGGAGGCTAAAGTAGAGAAGACTTTATTTTAAGGGAGACAGAGTGGGTAGAGGTAAAGAGAGTGAGGTTTCAGTCTGCCTGGACAGAAGGCAGGGGCTTTGAAACTTGGTTTCATTGTTTGCTTGTTGGGGGAGGTGCAGAGCACCACGGGGACCCTGATAAGGGGTATTGGGGGTGGAGTTAGTGCTAAAGGCTCTTACAATGCATTGTCTTAGCAGTTTGGAATGTCCTCAGGTGCAGAGCTTTCTGGCGCAATAAACATTCCACTAGCCTTTACATTATCTACCTGCTCCCAGTTTCATCAGGCCTGGGGGTTCAGGCTCAGTGTTCTCACAAATCCAGCATTTTAATGAAAGAGAGAACGAGAGAACCAGAGAGAGAGAGAGAGAGAGAGAGAAAAGCCTTTTGGTATTATATAGACAAGAGCCCTGGGAGAGGGAGAAACGGAATGGGGACAATGACAGTCTCCATGGCTACTTCCGGCTGAGAGGGGGCATAGTTAGGGGAGTGGTTTCTCTCTCTCCCGGTGCCAGCATCACTGGAGTGGGGGCTGGAATTGAGCGCCTTTTAGCAGGATATTGTCGACATGGGTCCATTTCAATAGCTGAAAGGTGCATTGCCCTAGATAAACAAGAAGAAAAAATTGTTCCAAGGAGTGAGAAGGGACACAAGCCAGGGTAGCGGGAGTTTTGGAACCAATGTCTCAAGAGTCAGATGTCCATTGTTGAATTCTGGGTGCTCAGCTAATGAGCAGCACCTCGACCAACCACGACCAGATTGATTCATATAAAAGCAACGTTCTTTTAGTTCATTCTCCCAGATGTTGATCGTGCCTGCCTGTGAGAGGTTAAGGTATTCTTGTGGTTAATTTGGGTTGCTTCTGATGATTTATAGAAAGAAGGCTTACACAGAACTAGAGGTTAGGCACAGGGCGGGTGGGAGACCTTGAGAAAAGACAGGTTGTGTGAATTTGTCTTTAGCCTGGGGCAGAGTGGGGAGGAGGGGAGACATGGTAATTAACCCAGTGAGCCTGCTGGTTTGAAAGGCCAGCAATCTTGATCATTATTCTAGATACTTCAGGAGAGAGATCTCCCAGGGTAATGTCGCCTTTGCGAAGCAAAAAGGGGTCTTGGCTAGGAGTGATGTGTTAGTAGAAACTGGCCAAGGGCAGGGTTTTTGAGACAAGGGAATTTCGTGATACTCCACATATAGTCCTTGAAAAGTCCGATGGCCCGCTGCTTGTGTGTGGAGGCAGACGGACTAACAGGCAGTTAGAGCGTCCCTGTTGGTCGGAAGGGGCAAAAGGGAAAATTGCCTGAAGATGGTGCAATATGCTTGCTTCCCCCCACCGAAAGTTACGAAAGTTGCGGTCTGCAAGATGAAAGTGCCGAATTCCAATGCCTGCTTCTCCTTAAAAGCTGCCTTTAGCAAGACAAAAGTGCCAACCCGTTCCTTCTGTTTCCAGTTTTATCATGAGAATAGCAAGGAAGTAGTGATTCTGCCCTTCTCAGTTTTCAGTTTATCATGAAAACAGAAAGAAGTTATGGATCCCACTCTTCTGATGTTTTTCTGTTTGTTTGTTTTATCTGGATTGAGCTAGACAGGACGGACAGGATTGCAAATATGGCCTTTTGATGAATTTTGTCCCCACCCTCTGACTGATTGTTAGCTGCTGTTCTGTTTTGTTTTTTCCTTTTTTCCCCCAAATTGTGCTTAAAACACTTCACTTCACTGGTTTCTTGGATCTGCTTCTCTTGGAGGCCCCCTCCTGGCTGCTGCAGCAGGAAGTTCTGACTTAAATAAATCTTGTTTTGCTTGCGTGGAAATTCTTTCACGCGAGACAAAGAACTAGGGTCGCCTTTCTTCGCCACCGTTTTACCCAGAACACTTGGGTTGTACGAAAATTTTTGGTACGTCTGAAAATGCTGCTCCCTTTTCTGTCTCAGCAAACGATATGCTGTGGTTTTAACCCAGGCAGACTAGGGCAGGGACTGCAGCGTAAGCTATAGCCAGCAAACTCTTTGGGAGATTGGTATTTGTGTTATTTAAAAGTGAGAAGGGAGACTGAGTGTACATTCTAAGTGATGTGCAGCATGGGGATCGAACAGGCGGGAGGCAGGGCAGTGGTTAGGAGAAGCAGCAGGAAAATCATCTTTGGGTGTTAAGGCACAAAATAAGTAGACTGGCCTAACCAGGGGCAAAGGCACTCAGGAATATACACAATGAAGTCACCCCGGAGGAAACAGTCCCATAGGAAAGTGGAAAGTTTTATTTGGATTGGCTATCAGGGTGGCAGCTTTGAGAGTGGTTAGGACAAGATCCTAGGACTGTCCAAGATTAGATATGGGGTAAGGGGTCTCGTGGTCGCGAGCAGTCAGTCATCCCTTCAGAGCCTTCTGGAATAGCAGTGAAGCGAAGAGATGGAGAGATGTGGGTATCACGGTTTGTAATCATGGGCCACCTCTTCAGGGCATTACCCCAATTATCTTCCCGGGTCAGGGTAAGTTGTGTGTGTGTGTGTGTGTGTGTGTGTTTGATTTATTTATTCATTTGAAAGGCAGAGTTATAGAAAGAGAGAGGGCGAGACAGACAAATAGAGGTCTTCCATCTGCTGGACCACTCTCCAAATGCCTGGCAATAGCCAGAGCTGGGCCAATCCAAAGCCAGGGTGCAGGGGGCCCAAGAACT